TTTGCTATTCAATTAGCTGCAAATCCTGTGTTTCATGAAAGAACCAAGCATATCGAGATAGATTGTCATTTTATTAGAGATAAAGTTAAGGCTGGACTAATTCAAACAGAGTATGTACACACTCATCAACAAGTTGCTGATCTATTAACCAAGGGATTGAGTCAAGCTCAACATCTTCATCTGTTAGGCAAGCTAGGAGTGCTTAACATATTGCACCCTTCAGCTTGAGGGGGAGTGTTAACCTTCACGTTTTCTGTTATTCTGCTAAGTGTCACATTTTCTGTTAATTCTGTTACTTTGCACATGGTTAGTTAGGAATAAATTCTGTTAGTAAATGAGCTGTAATTGTGAGTGGAAGATTAGAGTTAGTTAGGAATTCTATATTGAAAACAGAATCTGTATTTTGTATATAAAAGGAACAGGTGCAAGGTCTGTGAGTAATAAGAAATAAGAACTTCCTTTTTCTTCTTCTTCAATTCAGCTTTATCTTAGGAGCTTCAATGGAGTTTTTCCAAGTTCCTTACTAGAATTTTTCAGCATAATATAATATTATCCAAAAATAATTTTTAATGGTAATTAGTTAACGTCAATAACTTAAATTGTCATTAAATTCGTTTATTTAGAACAGTTTTTGCAAATATTCCTAAAGCGCATACTGAAATTGAATTCAATGACAGTTAACTAATACTATTGATAAAGGTTCTATCACTCTGTCAACGTGCATATTTATAGCCGCTAAAGTTATTTTGTTATAGAGTCATAACAATTTTTACATGTAAAAAATCACAAAAATTGTAATTAATTACTAGATTAATAGACATGGACTCATTATTACGTTAAGAATATAATATATTTAATGCTAAAAAAATTTTAAAATTGAATTCACGAAAGAAAAATTGTAAATTCACCTCTGATTATATCAAAAGTATGACTATTCATCTTGATCAGAAAGTGTGAATCAATGATTTGTAGCCCAACACAGGACTATGATTCACACACATATATGAATCATAAAATAGTTCCCAAAAGAAGAGTTTTACGTACTAATCATCAAAATTAATGGATTAAACTTTGAATAAACCACGTATATACAATAACTGCCAATAATTTTATTGCAACAAAAGAAGAGAGAATGACACAAATTTAAGCTACTTTGCTAACATTTTTCTTTTGGGACATACATATAGAGTCGTCAATAACTACAACTCAGTTGGAGAGCTGTCCACAACTTCACTCGAGTGAGGGTTCGAATCTCACTGTATTTCCCAACTCCTCAAAACAAAATAAAAAAGTTGTCTATTGACTATATATAAATGTTACTTACAATATATCATATTTCTTTGATGAAAATTCAAGTGATCCAGAAGACTTAAATTAGCAACTGGATGGTCATTGATGAAGCAAAAAGCAGGACATACACTAAATCTTTCATGTAGATTCCTGAAATGCAAGAAAATTTTACATAATTAGTTTAAATTATGTGTCGTAAACAGATTATTGGCCCTCAAATTATTGCCATTCTATAATAGTCAGGTACAAATTTGGAGAAAAAGTAACTTTCTTCATAAGAAAATCTATGACACCAGAAAAACTGGAATAGAATTGTACCATCTAATTTACTCCGGCACGAATTCAAATTAGTTGAGTCAGTTTTAGTATTGGATACATTTACCCAAATAGTGGGGAAAAAAGGTAACCTCTAGTCTCTAGTTGTGATATGTCGAAATTCCATAAAGGAAACCGCCTAACTTAATCAGTTTTTACTGTTAAATCAGCTTTCATTAATCATATTCATTATTGTGTAGGGAGGCCAATTTTTTGTAGTAGTACCAACATATTAAGCTGATGTATGTGAATTGTGATTACAAGATTAAACGAGTAATCCAACAACTTATCAAACAATCAGAAACGCGTTCTAAATAAAGTGAATCACTGGAGTCGAGTTTTTAGCCAGAGAAACAAGGCTGTAGCTATTGTGCCCATACCTTTGCTGAGCTGAGAGGATGTTGCTTTGGGAAGTTCTGGAAGTGCAGCTGCTGCAAAGTCATTTGTTGTTATCAAAATAAATGACAATCGTTTAACGAAGGGATAATCAGAAGGAGAGGAAAATGAAAGTTGTAAGATGTTTGTGATTGTAAAGGAAACATACTCTTGTTGCAGGTAGAAGCAATTTGTTGTTATCAAAGTAAATGACAATCGTTTAACGAAGGGATAATCAGAAGGAGAGGAAAATGAAAGTTGTAAGATGTGTGTGATTGTAAAGGAAACATACTCTTGTTGCAGGTAGAAGCAGAATTAGAATATGATGAGGACCAAGGAGCGGCCACATTGTCATTAAGATCACAAATGAAGCCAATTCCTGAAGTCTGGTCATATGTTAAATCCGTTGGTAAGCTGGGAAAGAGGCATCCCGATTCTACAGAAGATTAAAAAAGAATCAGTCGAACATGAGAACAAACGACAGTGAGGTGAAAAGTTTCCATATGACGATTGCAATTCTCTAAAGAGATAAATATCATTCAATTGTTGAGCAGAAAGAAATACTACAGAAATTAGTGAAGTATCATTCATTTGTGTCGTTTTCCTAGCTAAGAGTGTCATGTCATGCATTCAATATGTCAAACAATGTTGTACCTAATAAAGCAAGACTATATTATATGCCTCGGGAAGGATGTGTATATAAGCAACAAATGATATGTTATATACCAGAAAGGGAAAAAAAAAAACAAATTTCCGTGATAAAGGTCTACATGTCGATAAACCAACTCCAAACTGGTGAAGTTATAGTACCGTACTTCTGAAAGATCAAGATTCAACAAGTAAACTAAATGGAATCAGATATTTCCGACTCAATTTACTTTCATCTGTCTTCTACTTTATGTGGCAACATATGATTATAAAGATTTTCCTATAATTTAGAGTTATTGATTACCTTTTTCATCCACTGATGCATCAGTATGTCGCAAATGAATCCAGGGTTCCCGCAGTAAGAACAAATTGAACACCCAAACAATGTCAATAACCAACAAGTACAAAAGAAAATAATTGCAGAATGAAAATATGCTGCAAAGGAACTGACCCTGAAGAGAAAAATCCTTGAGGTTTACATGGCAAATGTCAAAAATATTACTGGTGATATTTGCTTCTTGCAACTTCTTGCCAAGCAATGTAGCACAATTTAAAGCTTGGAGATTAGTGATGAAGCTTTGCTGTTGCAAGCGCGACAAGTAACTATTCAGTGTGTTGCAGCAGGATGTCTGATTACTTGTTTCCTCTCCACATTCTTTGGAAATGTTCTTTATGTCCGGAAACACCAATGGACATGCTAATAGTTCAGAAAGAAGAATGAACCTAAATTAATCATCTCAAAATATCATATTCCAAATTAAACACGACACATTATGCTTGGCATCAGTCACAACTGTTAGAGGGCAAAGTTAAATTGTTTAAATATCACATTTTCTCATGTCAGAGGCCGAAAACAATATGCAGACTTGTAAGATTCAACTTGTAGCTTTTAGTTTCCGAAAGAGCCCTAGCTTTAAAACAGCTTCATCGAATTTAGTACCATCTGGCTTCAAAGTTAGATTATAAATGTTTTTCCTTCCAAACTTCCAGCACTTACATTTGTTTATATCACAGCTTGAAAGTACTCTGATGATTCTATTAGCTGAAGAAGGATCGAACTTGCTGGCCATCCATCGTAATATAATGCTTTTACAGTCATTTATAGATTTTTCCGACAAGTTAGGGGCACCATTGGAGGTTGTCACATTTTTATGCCTGAAAGCTAAAACTTCAGCTGCAGCAGATATAGCATTCTGGCAAACTTGGTTGCAGCACTCAATAGTAGGATCTATTTTTCCACAAGAAGCCAGCAAAGACGATGTATCTAAACTGTTTTCGATTTCATTAACCTCTATAACAGGACAAGATGATTCTGTAAGATTGGAGGGATCCACAGAACAAATCTCAAGAAGTTCCTCACTGGCACCTTGACTTTCTAGAATCTGTTTGACATCCGAAAGGCAGTGCCTAGCATGAGTGACATTGAGTGCAAGACTTTGTGACTGACTACTGGCCTGCCCTACAAGAACCACTAGGCTGGCATCAAATTGAGGACAACACACTACATTAGCAAGATATGGAGCAAGCGTAGACCAGCAATCTGTTGCTGTTGTTCTCAAAATACTATCTGCAGCTGAAAAGTTGAATGCACAATGTCCTGAAAAGTTATCAAGGATTCATCAGTAACCTGATTATATCAACTCGTTTAAATTTATTCATACTTAATAGATCAACCCCTATGATCTCATTCTGACTATAAGCCTAAAGGTGAACAAGTGAGAAAAGGCCTAAATTATTTTTCTTCAAAATGTTGGTAATGTGATTACCTGATAATTTAGGCATCTTAGTGTACGTAAATGGCATGAATGGTGAAGGTGCTTGCAAAGGCAGCATAGCTTTGCTAGGAGTGATGTCTGGAGAGGCATGATTATGAGTTGTACTTAATAAATCACTCTCTTGAGATTTATGAATTCCTGAAACTGGAAAAAGGCTATGAGTGCATTTCATCAAGACAATTACGAATCAATTGAAATTGAAAATCACGTACAGAGAAGCAACACTATTGAGACTTGAATCATGAGACTCATTTCTTCAAATTTTGTTTACGTGTATAACCGAAAGATATATTTTGTGTGTAAATTGATTAAGCATAAGGTGTTTGTCAAACATCGTAATTCCTGCATACAGCTATAAGTAAAAGTGTGGAGAAGAAGAGGCCGTGCTCTCGCTTTCGAATGAAGAATCCTCACGTGCCATAGCTTTAGCTTAAATTGATTCGATTGCTTGAAGAAAAGAAGCGGTGTTTCCTCCATTGGAATTTTGATTCCGTCTCCTGCGCGCGGGAGAGGAGACGCAAACTATCCTATAAATCAATATTTTAATCTCTTTTGTTTTCACCCAAATATCCCGGACAAATCAATATTCTTCGTTTTAATTTATGTGATACAATTGATATTATTTTATTCAAATGAAATCCGATTTTCATAAATATTCTCATCTTTTTTTTTTTAAATTTCATATTCAATCAAAACACTTTATATAAAATATTGAAATGGAAAGAGGAAAAGAGTATGCACTTGGTGTTTGATCTAAGAATATACTTGATTAAAAATTGGATAAAAATACACATTGTAAACAAACTGTTCTAATTATTGAAGTTAATTTCCTGAATGTTACTGAATAAATTGTTTTCAAATATCACTTTTATTTTATTAAAAACAAAAATATTACTCGATTATAAATGAATTGATTTGGTATCAATTAAAACAAATCAACTCATGATCAAATGATCCAACATTTACATATATATATATATATAATGATACTCTCTTAGGGGAACTTTCGCTAATAGGCACTAAAATAAATTTAATTATATTTATGGGTTGTAACTGTAGTTTAAACTACCTCATTTATATAATTCGCCGATACATTTAATATAATTTAATGATTTTTTATAAAATTGAAATAATGAAATTATACCATCACAAACATCAGAAATATAAATAATTATACAAATTTCAAATTATACAAAAGTTATACTATTTCGAACTATAAAAACTTGTGAATTGTACGAAACAAAAAAGTTGACCAGCGTAATTATAGCTAAAAATATATCGCAAGTTGTGATTAAAGCAAACTATAGTTTGTTAACTAAATAACTAGTATATGTTTACTTGTACGGGTAATTTTATGTATTTTTTAAAACTTTATTTATTTATGGATGAACTCATAAACAGATTTCTAAACTTGTTGGTTTTTTTCCTCCAGGTACCTTGTCTATGTTATTTTTCTATTGAATCATTGAACCAGTCAGAATTTGTTCCTTTTAAACACTGATGGCTAATTTTGATCGGTTATTTTATTGTAAATGCTTTCAACTGTATTTGTATTATAATGATTTTGATTGAAGGAATGAAGATAAATAGTGTGTTAGTCTCATTTGTTTTCTGATGTGTTCAAATAACTTGAAGTAAAACACAATTATTCTCGAACAGTTTCACCATCAATTGGATTAATGAGTTCTGGAACAACATATGTATTCTCTATCAATACCCCTCACAAAATCTTATTTCACACCAGCCAACGGTGTTTAAAAGAAACAAATTATGGATGGATCAATGATTTAATAGGAAAAATAACACAGTTAAAGTACTAGAGGGAAAAAACTCAATAAGTTTAGAATCTGTTTATATATTTGATCTTTAATTTATTTATTTATTTTTAACATCAGATTTGGGCTTACCATTTAAGCCCACCAACCATATATATGAAGATAGATAAAGCCCAAGTCATACTAATTTACACCATAAGTCCCTAATATCAATGTTTCTTTCACTTCTAAATAGTAAAAGAAAAGATGTAAGCCAAATTAAATTGATGGCAAGTAGAAATATATCAACTTGATCTCATTTGTTGCATTTATGTCTAGTGATAAGAATAGTATAAGTTGGATTTTCTCTTTTCATTCTATAATAGTGTAAATGTTTGATGATTTATTTGTAGTGATTGAAGTGGTCTGAATTTTGATAATAGTATTATTGATATTTATTTTTTTTCGTTTTGTGAGACATGTCGTTATTATTTGGTTGTTAAAAACTTAAACAAGTCTTGAGATAATTGAATTTGATCATACTGCAGGCGCTTAAAGATGATTTGCATTGAACTTTAAAAAAATACCCTTTGAAGGTAAAAACTTGAATTTTATTGGTTCGATTGATTTGTAGATTTAAAAATTGATACAAATAGTTTGATTTGATATTTTGAATATTCAAACCAATTGAATCCATATACACACCTCGGTGGAACTATAAAAATTGCTAGGCATGCATATCATGATTTTTTTTTTCTCAAAGAAGATAACAAGCATGCACGAAATTTAACTATCCAGAACCATATGTTATAACAAATGAAAAGGATTTATCCGTTAATTAACGTGTTTAAAAATAAAGCAATACACACAATAATAATTAATACTCTGTATTGGTACGAATTATTGTACAATAATATATATATTGTCATGGACGGCTGGCTGAAAAGGAAATTAACTTGATTTGTCTGTTAACACTTGAAGCATAAAGCTAGAAATTAATATAGAATATACGTAATTGCTGGTTATACATGAAGTTCTAAAGCTTAATAAATTTATAAAACTAAACGTATATAAACGTCATGCATCTAGAAAAAGCTTATGGTGCCACCAACATTAATTATTATTATCATTAGGGATAATGCACAAGTATCTCCTTAACCTATGTTCGAAATATCAGAGAGACAATACTAAGGTCCTATTACCTTCCTCAACTTATTTATTAATAATTTTCTACTCCTTTTTGGCTTATGTGACACTATTTTGTGGGTCAACGCTGGTTGATTTTTTTTCCAAGCTAGTCACACAGGTCGAAAAGGGGTAGAAAATTACTTATAAAATAAGTTCAGGGGGTAAAAGGACCTTAGTATAGTATAAGTGTGTTTCTGAGATTTTGGGTTTAGGTTGAGGGGATACTTGTGCATTTTCCCTTATTATTATCATCGTAATTATTAATTAGAAAATTCTGTAGCTTAGTTGATTTGATCATCTGAACTTTTACTTTATTAGTAATATTTTTTTTTTTTGGATACGAAAATATTATTTAATTTTTGATTTTATAAATTGACGAGTAATATGAGACGGGGGAGTATTATTATGACTAAATTCACATGCAAGAAGAAGCTTCCAAGATTGATTTTGCAAGAAAGCATTATAGTGAGTAATTAAATTCATAATTGGAAAAGAGAAATAATAGTAATATACCTAATCCCCATGTGAAGTTAGCTTTTAATGAACTTCATCTCAAATATATTCAACAGCCCTACAGTCACGGGAATCCCTTTTTAATTAATTTCTCGTTAAATTTACTTCACTCACATGTAATGTAATGCCCCTATTTTGAATATAATGTCATGACTCATGAGCCCAGATCTAGCCTAATTATCTTTGGATTTTGTTGTTATATGTTAGCGTTGTTTTATATTGTATTGTTAGTTTAATTTAGATATAATGTTTATTTAGTTGTTAATTTAGATTAGCATGTCTTATCTATTAGTGACATTTTACACTTTGTTTAGATCATTGTTATTCATTATTTTATATACAATGTTTGGTTAAATTGTATTGTTTGTTGTTGTTTAGTAACATTTTAATTGTTTGATTTGATTGTATCGTACTGTATGATAATTTATAAATTTACTTAAATGTCCTTAATAGGCCCAGAAAGGACAATATCATTGCGGGCTGTGTTGTTACAACATAGTCTAAATCTATTGTTAGGTAAAGACAGAAAGACTCATTTTGTGTAACAGTTGATCGCGTCATTAGAAAATTTTAGTTTGTCTTACTTGTTATTTGATAATTATATTTTACCATTTACTCTACTTTTTCATAATAGATTTACATTGTACCCTATTTTTCTTGTAGGTTTCATTATGAACGTGCATGTGACATTAGGTAACGACGATGAACGATACAATATATCTCAACATTACATTCATTAAAACAATAAATATAAAATCCGAACAGTGTATTAATTAATTATTTCTCCCAAGATTTATAATATATATGTTCGAAGATTTGAGTCTTTCAATTTTAAATGCTATATATGCGCAGATTGATTGAGATTTTAATGGTAATTAATAATTGGAAGACCATAATGAAGAGGTTGGTTAGATGCCCTTTTTGTCTTTTTCCTCTATGGTGGCATATTAAGGCAAACTATAATCTAACTTAAGTTAAATTAATTAAAGACAGAAAACAAAAAAGGAAGAAATTGTGTGGGTGGTTATTGGTACCCTAAACCTGATTAAATGGAATTTGGGACCACTAAATGAGATGACTTAATTTTGAGATCAATATAATCTTGTAGCTTCCCTTAGTTTTTGAGAAATTATAATGGGAAAATTACATAAATATATTATAATAAAAAAATATTTACTATTTATAGCAATAATATTTTTTTCACTTGATTACTTTCAATTTATTTATAATACAAGTTTAATACATATTATAAAGAACAATTTATTATTCACATATAATACAAGTTTTAATGATGGATAATGCATTTATCACACATTTTAATACACTTATAATACAATGTGACAATTGTTTATCAAACAAACATAAGATATTTCAAAAACAATTATAATTCAAATATATGGTATACATAATTCACTTTTAATATATATTACAGATTTATCACAGTATTACTATAAATGGTAATAAACAAAAAGTATCGCTAAAATCAGTAATTATTTTTTAAAATGTATTAATTTACGTTATTTTTTCAATTATAATCACGATACATTTTGTAACTTATATTTATATAATATATGAATAAAGATATATATATATATATATATATATATATATATATACACACACACAATTGTGAACATAATAACTAAAATAAGCTATCGATTCATGAGTAACAGGTAACGTTTATATCGCCGTCAAAGTTAGAATTTTAAATTTATGAATTAGAAATTTAAGTTTTATTTTTAAGTTCTAAACTAATTAATAATTTGTACATATTTAATAAATTTCTTTTGTATGACAAATATAATGCCTCAACCAAAGTTACTAAGTTCAACTAAATCCAACCATAATATACACGCTAACTCCACCTCAAATTCACAATTCATAAATTTCAAATTCTAATTCTAGCTCGACTTTTCATTTAATTTTATGTTTTCACGCAACTTTATTCAAACCTAACACAACAAAATATCACGTTGCCATGTGGAAGTAATTAAAACCAAAGGCTTGAATGGAAAATGTGGCCAACTCAATTAGAATGTTTTGGAGAACAACTCCTTTTGTTTCTAACAAAACCTAGCTATGGTTCATACATAAAATTAAAGATTGTCAAATTAAAGCAGCCAAATAGAAATTGGAAGATGAAAAAAATATATATTGTACCTTGGACAGACATAAAAAATTAATAATCCAATTTTAGAAATTATAATTAAATATAATAAAGAGATCTTTACACAGGTGGTGATTTTGATCAACTGCAACATCCATCCACAGGACCATATATATATATATATATATATATATATATATATATATATATATATAATATTATTTATTGATTTTTGTGACCAACCTTTTAACATGTGTTTGTTATATGATGCCTAACAAAACATTATTTCTTTCTCCAAATCAACTGAATATTCGCTCACTTAATATATATTTATATATACAATTATTTAATCCTAAGAGTATTATTTGGTGGTTTCTAAGAACATATTGTAACGTCTGAGTGTATATATCAAATCATTAAATAAATATATAATATGTCTTTCGTAAAGTTATTTGTTATTTAATAACAATGGTTAAATTGATTTATATATTCTCAGGATAATTTTTAACCGTTATAATTAAATTACTTCATTTGCTATTTTGTAGATCTAGAGTGTAATGTGCATGTGGAGGTTATAGAAACTTCATCTAGCTTTTGCGCACTACATTTCTTTTTAATTGCCATATATAGTGTACTTTTTTACGGTAATTTTGATTAATATTTTAAGACGTATTTTTTATTGTATTGAATGAAAAAAATTATAATTTTTATAAGATTTTTTTCGTAAATTTTTTATATATTTAAAATATTTTAATATAACGAATGAATCTAATCTAATTTAATTTTGAAAATTAGTCAAATTGACTTTCGAAAAATGTAACTTGATAACTAAAAAGGAATGAAGAGAATAAAATATTTAACTATGAATCTGGTTATTATTTTACATTCGAGAGAAACTCATAAATTTCAAATTTTGAATCCGGGAGAGTGCAAAAATAAGTGTGTACTTTTTAACAAACATACATAGTTTAATTCAAAAAAAGAAGGCGAAAAAAGTGGCAACTCCATGTGCACTTCTCCTCTTTATATTTCAAGATTCTAACCTCCCACTACTCCTTATTCACCAAAAACTCCAATCATCATATTTTGTCAATCTTTTTTTTCTTTTCTATTCTCTTTGAAAATAATCTCTAAATACACAAATGGGAAATTGCATGAGAATTAGTAGAGCACATGTTGTAGTTCATGATGATGAAGAGAAAAGAGTTGAAGAGTTAGCACTAAAAGCAAAGGAACAAAGCAATGTTATTAATAAGAGAAGAAAGAGTGTTAGATTTAAAGTTGTAGATGATGAAGAGAAAAAGGAAGAAGAGGGTAAAGAAATGATGATGAAGAAAGGTCATGTGGTGAGGATTAGGGTAGTGGTGACACAAGAAGAATTGAAGCAAATCTTGAATGGGAAATTGGATTTTTCATCAAAAGATGAATTTTTAAGGAAAATAAAATCAGCAAGTAGAAATAGTAGCAGCAACAACAAAAGGAGATTATATGAAGATGGATCTAATTTTTCTTATGGAAAAATTAGTAGTAATAGTAGTAGTAGAAGCACAAGTTGGAGGCCTGTTCTTGAGAGCATTCAAGAAGAACATTAATATTAATGTTCATTATCTACATGAGTCGTGGTCGCGATTAATGGTTGAATTTTTCTATTTTTTTGGAAGAGCGCACGTAAAAATGAGTCTTGCAATGCGCGAATTTGAATTAATTATAGGAACATTATATCTACTCTCTCTTCCTTTTTTTCTCTCTTTATTTTGCATGAGCAACACTTTTTAGACGTTGTTATACCGTAGTATAAGGTTAGTTTTTTTTTTTTTTGTTTTTCTTTTGTGTGTGTGATTAGGAGGGGTTTTTCCAATATATCAAGAATTGGGTTAATCACGATTATTGAAAAATAGACAATAGAGTCATTTTAACATTTATTGATGTACCTCTAGTTAGTCAGAATTTTTTTTTTTTTTTGGTGTTATGTTATTTGAATGTTATGAATATAAAGTGATTTGCACTAAACTCAGTATTTTTAGTCTGTATATATATATTGATTAGATTCATTTTGAATTAATAACTATAAATCCAAACTTCTCTTGTGAATATTATTTTATTCATTGATAAAATGGACCTTATATTTTGAAACAAAAACTTTGATTTAGTGTTTAGTAGATAGTTTTCCTTGTGCTTACTTGGTGGCACCTTGGAAAGCTCTTTCCATGGAGGGAATAATTATTAAATCTAACAGATAAGAAAAAGAAACTAAACAAAACTACAAAAGTGACTCTATATATGTGACTTTACAGAATGGCAATACTTGTATATTTACGATTTATTAGAGTATTTTCCGGAAGAAACAATGGAAAGATTATTAAATTAGCAAAATTCCAAATATTGGTCAAACACAAAATATTAGTAAATGTTTCTTTTTTCTCGGTGTCCACATTGGAGCGCAATTAAATTTAAACTCGCGCCGAGATGTCTCACATTGAGGATAAAATGCTTCTTAACAAAGATGACTCCGTACTCAAAACTTAAACCCATCTAATTAAGGATGAAGAAATACTTATCGCTCTACCAAAACCGTAGCTCTGATGAAGAATCCGGCAAAAGACTAAATTAACTTACTTTAATCTTTTTCCACTTGCCCATACGTTCTGCCTCAACGGCTCCTATTTATAACAAAAGCTGTTAAAAAATATACTAAACGTTTTATCATGTGTGTACGTTGGTTTTCTTGGACTCAACGAGTACCCAACTGTTGAACAAAATCCAAAAAGCATACGATTTAATTAAGTCGTGTTATTATGATGACCCTCGACAGATTTTCTTTTTCTTATAGGACTTTCAATAGGATAAACAACAAGATATTCAATATAATTTTACAAGTAGAGTCGATAAAAAAAAGAAATGAAACATGAGGACTTCCAAAGTATCGTCTATCCTAGTACTACGACTAAACACAATCAACTTCAGAGTTCATAACGCTGGTATGATGACAACAAGAAAACTAACAAAAAGAACTTGCAAGTTTCACTTCAACGAGAACTTGCTGAAGAGAATCTCAATTTAAATTTTATTACCAAAAAAAATGGTATAATGCTATCCGCAGGAAAAAGACTAGCTTGACAGTGCCTTTAGAAGTAAATAAACAACACTTTGTCCAACAAAAGGGACATAAAAAAGTTTTAAAATCATTTATTCCCTTCTCAAGTTGCTCTATTGAGAAGAAGATCTCTCTCTTTACGCTCTGTCATCTTCCCACAATTAAGCGGGCAGCTTTGTAAACGTGGCCAAATAATCATAGCGATCCTCATTGCTTTGTCAATTGACGAATGACATATTGAAGAATACCTCCATGGTTGAAATAAGCCAACTCCACCTGCACAAGATAAAAAGAAGCTTTCAAATGTTGATGCCTACCAAGAACTAATGAATGGTGAAGGTGAAACTATGTGGGATATTTACTGCTGTTGTGACAATATGCAACACGAATTGGTGGACCGTGGACAATGCATGCGAAATAATGTGATTTAAAAGTTATATGAAAAAGTGACAGGTTAGGATCTTCTATTTCTTGTTTGAGCATTGAAGCTACTCTAAGAAGAGATAAGGATTTTTCTCCTTTTTTGACGGTGATGAAAACTATTATTTATTTTGTACCTTCACAACATATGTTATCTTCCAATCATCGTAAATGTAAACATTGATTCCTACCAAGGATGCACCATGATTTACTGTTTAAGAAATAATAATCACTACTATTACACCCCAATCCCAAAACTAGTTAGGTTAGCTCTATGAATCCTCACTAGTCATGTCGCTGTGCGACAAGTCACAACCCAGTAACCATAATTTACTGCTCCCAGATGAAGTCTGATTTTTCCAACACTTCCCTTTTAGTCAAGTATTTCTAGATCTTGACATCCTGTTATTTTTATGATGATGCTTCAATCTCAAACTAGTTAGGGGTGGCTACATGTAACCTCTATACCCAGTTGGGCACATTGCATTCTACTACTACTAAATAATGTCATAACAAAAAAAAATATATATATATATATATATATATATATTAATTATTGACATCCTTCGTTGAAAGTTCAGTAAAAGACCCACAAAATAAGTGCCCCAGTTCATTAAGGGCCCTAATTTAAATACACAAAAATAGCTTTAAGAATAAATTTCTGTTATTTTCCCTTTAGATCTTCTCCTTTCCTTCAGCATAAATACAGAAAAAAGGCTTTAAGAATAAATTTCTTTTATTTTCCCTTTTGTTTGTTCTCATTTCCTTCAGCACTATAGGCAAAATACTTTATAAATGTAAAAGAAAATCAAAGAGAGGCAGCATTTTTATCATGGAAAACAATTGTCATATCAACATCTTTCACACAATAAAACACCAGGAAATAAGATCAGTAACTGAAAACAGAAGAGAGCTAGGAGTACCTCAGTGTCGAACCGCACTACGCAGGTGAAGGATTTTCCAGTATCTGTTTGTACAGTAACGTCTTGCCCAGGGCGGATCTCACTAATATTTTCAGGAAGATCAATGGTATAGCGCTCTTGACCTGTCAATCCAAGTGTATCTGCATCCTCCCCAGCCTTAAAACATAGAGGCACAATACCCATTCCTACCAAGTTACTGCGATGAATCCTCTCGAAGCTCTTAGCAATTACAGCTTTAACTCCCTGTTAAATTGTTCTTTAGTAGTTAGGGAATCCTCTGGTAAAAAAGAAAAGGACAGGATCAACCAAATTAAGAATAAATGCACAAGAAAACCCACCAACAACATTGGTCCCTTGGCAGCCCAATCTCGGGAGCTTCCACTTCCATATTCAGCTCCAGCCAAGATAATAGTGCTTTGTCCAGCGGATTTGTATTTCTGAAGGCATCACGTGTTTAACAAGTGTCAACATAAAACAGCAAAAGTGAAATGCGCAATGCAAACTCTTATCTTTAATGAAAACAGGATTTGAACCATTAAGAAACAGAGAAAGGAAAGTACCATAGCAGCATCAAACACAGATAGCTTTTCTCCAGAAGGAATGTGGACCGTCTTTGGACCAACCTCCCCGTTTAACAGCTTGTTTACAAGGCGGATATTGGCGAAAGTACCCCTAGCCATAATCTCATCATTACCACGACGGCTACCATATGAGTTGAAGTCCCTGCGATCGACACCCCGCTCCATAAGGTACCTAGCAGCAGGGCTATCTTTATGAATGCTTCCAGCAGGTGAAATGTGATCAGTAGTAATACTGTCGCCAAAGTTCAGCAAGCAGTAAGCATCCTTCACTCCATGAGGTCCAGGAGGATCCATGGTCATACCCTTGAAATATGGTGGCTCATGGATGTATGTAGATTTAGGATCCCATTGGTACAGCTTTGTTGTTGGCACAGATAATTCATTCCACATGGTATTTCCCTTTGTGATAGCTTCATATGTACTCTTGAACATGTCTGGCAATACACTTGATTGAACAACCTAACATGGAAAATCCGTGGTAAATTTACTTTTTGCATGATTGATCATGGGTACATAAGCACATAATAGAATACATACCTCAGCAATTTCTTCAGTTGATGGCCATATATCCCTGAAGTACACATCCTTACCATCCTTCCCCACTCCAATTGGATCTTTCTCAAAGTCTATATCAACCTGCAAAGCATTGATAATTCTCATCAGCAACATAAATAAACATGATATGAACAATTAATATTGACAAGTTAGACATCCATGAATCTTTTCCACAATATCAGAGACCAAGAGTTCAAGACCAAGACCTATATCAGAGCGTGCATGAAAAATCAATGGGGGAATCTAGCATTGGAGCCCTGTTTTCCGTTATTGTATTTGTGCTCCTGAGAGCAATGCAGCTTGCACCAGGCTGAGTAATGTCTAAAGGCATTCCATGTAACTCATTTATGACCCTGCCTAAAGCACGATGCCTTTCACTTACTTAAAAGCATAATCCTTTTTTTAACTTGTAATATGTTTTTCCTCCTTTCACTTACTATAAAGGACAACATTAAGGCTGTGGATGGTATGGAGGAAAACATTCTCCAGAAAATGTTTTCTGATTATCCCATGTTCGGTTGGTCAAAACTTTTGGAAAACATTTTCTCTAGGAAAATAAGTTCCTTGGAAATGAGGAAAACAAGTTCTACAAGTAACATTGCACATTAATTGCATACTCCCAACCTTCCAAACACCTCATCTTCACCCCCACTCCAGGTAGCCCCCATTACCAACACCACCACTACCTCCCATAGTACTTATCTAGATTATATACAAGATAAACAAGAAAGAAAACCACTTACTTTTCAAGAAAACATTTTCCATGGTCAACATTTTCCTTACAGAACAAGTAATTCTCCAGATAAATTAATCATAAATCTCTTAAGTGCATTCACTTACAGTGCCAGCAAGAGCATAGGCAACCACCAAGGGAGGTGAAGCAAGATAGTTTGCTCTTGTCAGGGCATGAACACGCCCCTCAAAGTTCCGATTTCCGGAGAGTACAGCAGCAGCAACAATGTCTGCAAAATACATACATTTTGAATTAGTCAAACAATATAGCAAAATGATCATGACCTAGATAGAGTCCAGACAGTAATATTTTAATTTATAATCAATTGTATGGACTTACCGTTCTCTGATATGGCAGAAGCAACAGATTCATCCAAGTCCCCAGAGTTCCCTATACAAGTGGTGCAGCCATAGCCAACAATGTTGAAACCTTGCTGATTTAAATACTTCTGTAGACCACTGTTACATGCAGAAAATGACATATCACAATGTTTTCAAGTAACAATGGTCTGGGTTAGTAGAACTTTGCTCTTTAACAAACTTCCAATCAATACCTCTTGAGTAAATATTTTGTAACAACACCAGAGCCTGGGGCAAGGCTAGTTTTAACCCATGGCTTAACCTGAAAAATAATCAGGAACAAGGATTAAGATGGCATGCCTGAATTACAATCAAATGATAAGGCAAGTATATGGAGTAGCACTAACATGTAGACCCAGCTCAGATGCCTTTTTGGCAACCAGAGCTGCTCCTAGCATAACACTGGGATTGGATGTATTTGTGCAACTTGTGATAGCAGCAATCACAACACTGCCATGTTTGAGCTCTGCAGGTTGCCCATGGAAGGAAAACTTGGCCACTTTATCTTGCACCTCTTTTGGCACAGCAAATCCCTAAATCGATGTAAAGCAAGTTGGATTAGCATTTCCAGAAGTCAGAATCTGGGGTTGGGTAATTTAGTCTCACAACAATTTATGTTACAAGTTGATCAACCAAGAGAACTAATGGTAAATATCAAAATGAATAGCTCGCTCACCTTGAATCCAACTTTGTTATCTAGGCAAGCATGCCAGTCAGACTTCATTTCTTTCAAAGGCACACGGTCATGAGGTCTGTAGAGGATTAAAAACCATTTATATAGACCAACCTTAAGCACATTTTGCATCTTATATCAGAATTTGTCCAATCCGGGAAAATACCTCTTTGGCCCTGACAGACATGGTTCAACATCGGCAAGGTCTAAGTTCAAATAAGAAGAGTACACCTTTTCTTGTTGAGGCTGAAACAATTTTTTAACAAAGTGTAAGGGAAAGTAACAGTGATTCAATTGGAAAACTGAAACTAGAGCAATGAGGTAGGACAGGAAATACCTCTTTATAATCGACAAACATATTATTTGCACGGAGATATGACTCTACCATTCCAACCTAATTTTTGCACAGAGGATTAGCCACATATAAAGAAGAACTGTCACACTCTATCTTCACTTAGTTAATAGTAAATGTCTGAACACTTACTGTTTCATCACTTCTCCCTGTTAACTTGAGGTATTGCAAAGTAACATGATCTACAGGGAAGAAACCCATTGTTGCACCATATTCAGGAGCCATGTTTGCAATGGTGGCCCTGTCAGCCAATGAAAGACCACTCATTCCCTCACCTACATGAAAACAGACAAGTAGTCAAGTCCTTGTCTGGTGGACCTATTAAAAATGGTTAAACTATTTGCATGGAAAAGTAGTCGATGTTTATATATCTACCATAGAATTCAACAAACTTTCCAACAACACCATGCTTCCTCAGCATTTGAGTGACAGTCAGAACCAAGTCAGTGGCAGTTACACCATTTCGCAAATTCCCTGATAGCTTGAACCCGACAACTCCAGGCAACACCATGCTCATTGGCTGTCAGGATCCAGAAGAAACATTACAAAAGTGCCATCCTAAGTACAAATATCAGAATACATATTCTTTTACAGACATGAAGCAAACAGAAGAACAGGCAAGCAGCAAAGCCACAGGAAAAGAAGTATTGTTTCACGCTCAGATTAAGTGGAACACAGTGCATCCTATTCTAAGATGAGGAAAAATAACATCATATTCCAACTTGTTCTGATTTTTATTGGAAGATAGCTGGCTACAAGCACTAAATGCTGAATAGAAAAAGTATAACCAAAACTCTTTTTCTCAACAATTAGGGATTCTCTCTCTTTTTCATTATTGTCAAATTGACATACGAAACCAGTCGAATGCATCGACTACAGAAAGACTCACGAATAAAATTCTTCATTCGGATGACCTCATGATCACCAAAATTAGCTTTCAGGAATAAATAGAATTTTGGAAAGAGCCCAAAAATTAGAATTAGAAATGGGTCAGTGGATGCAATCTAAGACCATCCATAAGGAAAGAAGAAATACAAGGTCAGACAAATGAGGCAAGGAAACGCCCTACATGATTCACTATCATACTTCTCTCTAATCTAGAAAATTAAGGGTAAAGAAAAACTTTACTCCCTTGCTCCGATTTGGCATAGTTATATATGAGTGTTAAAAATTTCATGTTTAGTCTCTAATTAGGAGAACATTGTGCCAACATATTACATCTTAAACTTGTGTAACTATATACACTGATTGATGTCCCTCCATTAACTTCTACACGTGCCAGTCATATTCTACACTAGAAATTTGACAAAATGCAGATATGAACACGTGTCAGAAGAGCAGAGTGGGGCAGCTTAGCAAAAAGGCATAGCTATCTATTCTTTGCAGCAATACATGAATAAACCAGGATTCACAGAGGAATAAAGGGTGATCATCGCACTCGTGGTTTCATACCTGGCCAAGCATTGCAGCTTCTGCCTCAATACCTCCGACACCCCAGCCAGCAACTCCTAACCCATCAATCATAGTGGTGTGGGAATCTGTTCCGACCACGCTATCTGGGTAGAGCAAGCCTTCCCTATTGAACACAACCCTTCCAAGATATTCAAGATTCACCTAAAATTACAATAGAGAAAAATATTATCAGTTTTGCAAATCCACTGTTTCAGAAGTGGAAACTCACTCCAAATCCTCTAACGAGGGAAGATAAGTAAGAGCATGCAAAGCTGAAGAATTCATGATTCAAGAAATAGTTAGAGCTCAGCACAACTATCACATTGACCAAATCCAGAAGCACAAGCAGCTAAGTCACATTCAGTTTTCAGGTACAATACCTGATGCACAATACCAGACCCAGGTGGAACAACAAGCATGTTTTGGAAAGCATTGGATCCCCACTTAAGGAAGGCAAATCTCTCCTTATTCCTTTGGAATTCAAGCTCCATATTAGCCTGGACTGCATTTTCTGACCTTGTTACATCAACTTGAACTGAGTGATCAATAACTAGGTCGACAGGAACCTGAAATGATATTCCCAAAAAAAAAATCACCATGAAATGGTATGATAGTCATTCACGAGAAGACTTAAGAGAACAGTAACCAAGAAACTTAAGCATATAAGTGTGAGCAATGAATGAGACAACATATGCAATTCAATGCTTATGAACTGAAGTATAGACTTCACTGCATTCTTTTTGCATAGTTCAAGAGACTTAGCCACAATTCACTAACTATAAAGTATCATACCAATGGATTAATCTTGTCAGAATCACTGCCAAGGTTGTTCATGGCATCACGCATGCAAGCAAGGTCCACCACAGCTGGTACACCAGTAAAATCCTGCCAACAAGACAAATCAGTAAGGTGAGATCATCACACTGCATTCTTTTTTCTCTCCTTTTTTGTTGCAAACCTGCAAAAGCCCAGTACCTGCAGCAAGACACGGGCAGGCTTGAAGGGTATCTCCACAAGCTTAGGTGCAGAATTTTCCCAGTCAATAATCTTCTCAACATCTTCCTTTTTCACTTGAAAGTTGTCACAATTACGGATTGCTGATTCGAGAAGAATTCTGATAGAGTATGGTAGCTTGTCTGTCACATAGGAACCAACAAACCAAGAATAATCAATAATAGGAACACATCAAAATGAATATAAGAATGTACCAGGGCTTGAAAAGTTACCAATCCTGGGATCATTGAGCGCAGGTAAGCTATAGAACTTTCCGAATTCACCACCTCCGGGCTTTGGAAGACCAGTGAGGATTCCCTTAAATGGGTTCTCTGCAGCTGAATCCATCATTAAAAGAAAAAGGAATTAGATTCTTGATTTTCTACTAAGAATTGATTCACTCACAGCAACTCCTAGTAATCCTTCTCACAAAAATCTAAGTTTTTATGAAATATCAACCCACAAACACAAATAATAAAAATCAAATATCTTAGGTCAACTTCAAAGTCTCCCACTCATAGGCCCTACCCACCATGTTCCGCTAACCTCTGTCTTCAATGCTGATTATTATTACTCCATTATTATCACAAATAAATCATTTTCTTCCGATTAAATTAAATAGTCTCTAATTATCAAAAAAGCAAAATCACCCAGAAAATAAATCTAGATTTACGAGAACCCCAGAAAATCAAAACGCTAACTTTATGGATCACTAATAGAATTGGGGGAAATTAAATAAAACGACAAAAGTACCCATGGTAGCTAGTTTCCGATGAAACCCGTTGAGAGCAGGGGCAGCAGTCCTGATCTGAGCAGTAAGACTGATCGGAGACTTCCAATCAACACCGTGACTCCACCTCGGCACAGAGCAACGCAGAGACCGAAGCGTTGATGAATAACGCTGCTGATTACCAGAAGCAGCACCAGCACGACAAGGCGCGTGAGCAGCAGTAGAAGTTGAAGCAAGCGGCCTTGTAACAGAAGAAGATGCTCTCAATAATGAAGAAGCAGCAGAAGAAGAGTACTTGCGAGCTGTATTACTATACATGACTCCCAATATGTATATATATAGTTTTTTTTTTTCTCAAATCACATTCAATGGTAACCTCCTAGGGTTGTGTGCCCAAACAAAAAAAGGGAAATTGCTGATGAGGAAGAAGATGAAGATAGTGACGAAGAAGATATGGCGATTTGAATTATTGATTACTGATATGGTAAAGGACAGTGCCGAAGCTGCGGCACATCAAATGGAGCTAAAATAAAAAAAGCTTGGCTAATTATGCGTTATGGTGTTTTTTCGTTTTTTTATATAATGGAAGGAGGGGGAAGAAATGGAATAATAATAAAAATGAATATGATTAGGTCAAAATTATCTATTTATGCGCTACCTTTTTTTCTTTTTTCTTTTTTTGGATGACAATTAACTTTTTTTAAAAAAATAAAATGAAAGATAACTTTTGCCTTTTGAAAATGTCAATTTCCTAAGCAGTCTTTTTTAAAAAAATATTTATGACGGTTGATCTCAATATTTTTATATCAATAGTATAATTTTATTTCATGTAATATTTTCCAAATTTTGAGATTTGAATAAATTTTGTATATTTTTTATTGATTTTTTAAAATATTTTGACTTATCAATTTTTATGACTACTAATATTATTTATGTAGTTAATTAATATATAAAATTTTAGTTTAAAAAATAAAAAAATTTATATGTAAATTTTTAATCAAACTTAAATTATTTCACGCTTGAAAAATTAAAAGTATCCCGTAAAAATGAGATGATTTATAACGACTTCTTCACTATGTAAAATCGATATTATCACCAGATAGTATCACTTTCTTTTAGTTTTATGGTAACAAAAAAAAAAGAGCAGATAGGAATAGAGATTGTAAGTCGGTTACAATTTATTATTTTTATTATTTATTAATTAATAATGTCTAGCTAGAATTTGTTTTTCTTAGTTCGAAATAGATTTTTCAATTCTAATTTAATTTAACTTCTTGTTATTAAAATAAAGAAAATTATTTTCAATATTTAAAAAAATACCAAACAAGAAAAAGCCATGTAAAAATAAAAAGGAAGTTGAATCAAGATTCAACAATTTTTTAATTCATAAGTAAAATATTTTTGTTCAATTCATAAGTTTTATATTTTTTATCAAAATTTATTATTATTTAAAATGTAGATAAAGAAAGAAATGATTATTGTTGGGGCTTGTGGCACACTTCCACAGGCCACAAGTCACCCATGTAAATTTGCATTTAAGTCCTTCTCTTTCTTCTTGCTTTTCGTTTCACTCCACTATTATTATTTTATTGAACAATTATTCAAGCAATTGGCCCTATATTAATTTAAGAGAAAATAGCACTTTATGTTCCTATATTAATATTATATATTTTGATTTTAGTTCTTTAGATTATCGTTATTGATTTTCAATTATATTATGTGAGTAATTTAAACATAATTCTTCTATCATTTAGATTATCATTATTAATATTTGATTATATTACAGTGAGTAATTTTGATTTCACGGTAACTAGATGCCTTTAAAATTAATAGACAGGATATTTTTAATATTAAATCTAATTTGAGAAGAAAGGAAATTACATCTTTATTGATGTATATTTTAAGTTCTTCAAGATACGTGCCTTCATTAATATCTACTTCTATTAGTAAATAGTTAAAATATTAAAGCCACTCATATAATATAATTATTTGAAGGTCAATGATGATAAAGTTGTATAATATAAGAACTAAAAGGAGAATATAGCATTAACATAGGGATTAAAAAAAAATTATTTAAACTTATTTTAATTAACGTGAAAATAAGGACATTTATTAAACTATAAAAGTCAGAATTAATTGAATGAAGTCATGTGTTATCTGGCCTGCCCAAAAAAGGAGACGAATCATTTATATTCTTTTGAAAAGTTTTTGGAAAAACATTTGATTCTTTTAGAAATATGAAGAAAACATATGCGTTATGGTCGTAAAATTACCAACAATTAAGGGTTTTTTATCTCACGAGAAATATATTTTTATTTTTTTATGTTTGGTTTGTCTGATATTTTTTTAATTATAAAATAAGAAAAATAAAATTTATAAAATATATAACTTAAAATATATTCTCTTCGTCTACTATTATTTGTTATGATTTTTACTTTTAGAGTTAAATTATAAGAACTTTGACTAACATTTTAAGATGTATTTTTTCATCATATTGATATGAAAAAACTGCAATTTTTATAGTACTTTTTATATAGTTTTTTAATATCTAATTTTTTTGTTTAATATATTGAATCAATGTAATCTAATTTAACTTTGAAAAAATATAACATGACAAATAAAAAGGAACGGAGAGAGTAATAATTATCCCTCCCACCCACCTACACAAAACACTCTCTAATCCTCCATCTTTCCATCTGAATTTAGAATTTAATTTTTAAGTTTTATATTTAACCCATTAAATATTTATAGATTTATCTCTATTTTGTTATAATCTCATAAATTTTTCTATATAAATTTATATTTACATTGAGAAATACTAATTTAGATAAATTTAATATTAATATTATATATGACTTTTCTTCAAACCCTCACCCTACTAAGTTTCATTGTATTAAATGCACCCCAAATTTCTATTTAACTTTTCAAAAACAATTTATTAAAAATGTTAGTTATCATTAATCAAAATAAACATATGGTACCTCCCTTTAAAAAGTAAACTATATTTTTATAAATAAAATAAAATATTAGAAGGGAAAAAAAGTCTCGAGTGAAATATTTTAAAACACAAGTGGAGAATTAGTTAAGGGAAATGAAGGGTGAAGGCTCCCTGACTAAAGAAACAAACGAATAGGCACACCAATAAGGGCTTTTACAATACCCTTGGGCCACTTTTTCTCTTTTTAATTTATAAATAGTGACGCACGATCAGATAATAATCGATACGAAGAGTTTATCATAATATTTATATTAATCGACGTATAATATTAGATCTTGTGAATAACTTTGAGGAATAAAATTATTAATATCGAAGATAACAAGTAAAAATAATTTTATTTTTAAAAAAACAAGTAAAAATGAATCGAAAGATAGTATTTCGTAATCATATATTTTTTTTATTTCGAAAAAGAAATGTATAGTTGGACGAATTGAACTTCTCTTCTCAGTTGACCTTTCGCTTGTTCACACCTGTCCAAATTATTAGACACCATAAGACTTTTCTATAAGAAAAAAAATTCATACTAATTTGATTGGCTCTTTTGAACAAATAATATACCTCATTTAATTTTATAATTGGAACAAGTGTTATTCGAATTTTATTTCAAAATACATAATAAATTTATGTAATTGATTTATAGTTTTTATTTATAACATATATTGTTAATTGTTAATAGAGAAGTGAGAAATATTCTTCATTAAAAGAAATAAGAAGAAATAATTGAAAATCAAACTCATAACATCATAACTATTGAACAATCTTATATATGCATTGATTCTAAATATTAATATTTACTATTCAAGAAATCGTTTAATAGAAAATAATTTAGTAAATTATATTTATTAATAATTATTTTCTTAGTAAATGTGTCAGAATATACTAATACAATACATAATATGAGGTTCCTCTCAAAAAAGTCCACTACATTATTATAAATCACTTAAAGACATTGACAGAAAATTAAACAAAAGTGTTTAGTAAAATTTGGGATTGTCCTAATCACGATCAGATATATGATAAGTCTTTTTAATTTAAGTTAGTTTTCAATTTTTTTAATTTGTTCCAGAGCCTGCCACCTCACTGACATGCCAGTATGCATGCACTTCAAAAAAATTTATAAAATATTGTCACTTTTCACCTGTACAAGTATCAAAAATTTTAATTGCTAAGGCTTCAACAATAGGTCAAAAGAAAAAACTAGGACATGAGCCTTCGCTACAATTTAATTTTGACAGTATGACGTTTATATTTTTCTCCCACAATCATGTTTTTATGGTTTAGATTGCTTCCATTTCGCTCAGTGATACTATGAAAATTACTTTTTTTTTATTTTCCCGGACTACTAAGACGTCTCAATTTATCAACATGTATTGTGGTGCACTAGTGAGAGTGATTCATCCTTTACCATATTCCTGAATACGAAGAAAATTCTATTGGAAGCACTACCTCATTCAGGACCCTGAAGAGTGCCGATTTAAATTTAGTCAAAGCTTCAATGTGAGCACCAAACACCGGATGAACAACCAAAAAATAAAATGTCTCAATTTAGATTTATTTTCACCTTCACTAAGGCATTTTATCAATTAATACGTCCTTCCTCATTTTTGGATGAGAAAGTAACTATCATAAGTTTTTTTTTTTACCTTAATCATTCTTCATTGACCACAAAGGAGCTAGCAAATCAACATACAGTTACTTTACCTTGAACCAAAATGATTACTGCATTTATCATCTTAAATTGATATAAAATAGAAAGAATCATCAACAACATGCAAACAATAATTGAACAGGCATAAAAGGAGCCGAAGTCGCATACACTGGTCACTAATAGGAATAATTTTATTTCACCACGAGTATAATTTAATCTATTACTCTTTGTTATAATTTATGTGACACATTTCATTTTTTTAGTTACAAACTATGCAAGTTTGACACAAAAATTGCTCATGGAATCTTCAATTTTTTTACAATGAAATTTATATATTTGTAAACTATGTAAAAAGTACTATAAATCACAATAATTGACAAATTCAAAATATTCAAAAGATATATGAAAAATTTACAATAGACAATTTTAAATCGCAAATCTGAAATGTCACATAAATTGTAACAGAGAGAGTACAACATATCGTATCTATCGGAAAACAGTCTTTCTCAACCTTACGAAAATACATGTAAGATCTGTGTATACCCTACTCTCCGTTGACCTCACTTGTAAAACTAAATTAGACGGAGTTTCTTTTTATAGCGTTGATATATAAATGTAATAATGTTGGAGATATGGAAGGTTGGGAACACCCTTCCAAAAAGGCAACTTGACGAAATATCTTGGTGTCTTTGGCCCACAAAACAAGGAAATGCACTTTCTGAGCTCACCCAATTGCTTTGCTTCTTCTAAAGTTTATCTATATGAGCATCTACAGGGCACTTGCTTTAACATCACAATTTACAACCTAAAATTTATTCTGATGCTGATTCTCCTCTTTACTACTACAATAGACATCATTTTCCTATGTTGTAGACTTGAAAATAAACAGTCAGATGAGGGAAAAGATAAGTCTAGGCACATTATTAAAGGATACAAAAAAGATTATAACC